TTTTAAACTTATATTTCCCACTTGAAGCAAAGGAAGGCAAGAATGCTAACACAATTCTATAGTTTCCAATCACTAAAGACTGTGAATACCAAAAAATACAAAAGGTGCAATTTCTTGTGTTATTTAATTATATACTAATAATGGGTAGAAAGTTATGTGTAGATTATAGGAATCAAAAGCAATATAGAAAAATCAACTGCATTTTCTATATCAGTAATCAACACATAAAATGAAATTTCAAAAAAATTTATATTTGCATTAAACAGAAAATACTTGAGGAGATGTTTTTAAGTGTGTAAAATGTTTACACTGAAAACTATAGAATGTTGCTGACAGAGCTTGAAAAAAATCATAAATAAATAAATAGAGGATGTTCATGGACTGGAAGACTCAGTACTGTGAAGAAATTAAGTAAATCTCCCCAAATTGATATCTGATTAAATTTAATCCCATTCAATATCTCAACAAGCTTTCTGTGTAGAAATTGACAAGTTGATTCTGAAATTTATATTGAAATGCAAAGGATTTAGAACAGCCCAGGCAATACCGAGGAAGAAGAACAAAGCTGAAGAGCTTGCATTATCTGATTTCAAGACTTCCATAGTGCTAAAAGAATCAATTCAATGTGGTACTGGCATAAACAAAAAACAAAAAAAAAAAAAAAAAGAAATCAACGGACCACAATAGCTTGGTTATAAAGAGACTCGTGTGCAATCAATAGATTTTCAATAACTGTGCCAAGATCACTCAAGGAGGAAAAGAAAATATTTTAACAAATTTTCTGTAAGAACTTGGTAAATGCATGAAAACAAAAATGTATTTCAACCCCTATCTCATACCACACACAGAAGTTAGTATGAGATACATCGTAATCCTAGATATGAGAGCAAAACCTATGAAATTTGTAGACAAAAACATGTAATACCATCTTTGATCTTGAGTGCAGGCAAAGCTTTTTCAGATATGACACAAAAAGCCATGATAATAAAAGGGAAAAAAAGATTAATCAGTCTTTTATAATTTAGTAATGTCTGTTCACCAGACATTTAAGGAAATGAATAGCCAAATTGCAAATTAGGAGAAAATATTTGCAATGCATCTATCCTACAAAGGATGTGAATTGAAAATATATGAAGAGCTCCTACCTATTATTCAATAATAAAAAGACAAACAACCAACACTTTTTTAAAGTAGTCAAAAGTCATGAATAGACAGACACCTCACAAAGGAAGATATAAAATGACCAATAAGGACATTAAAAGTGTTCAACATTATTAGTAAACTTGGAAATGCAAATTAAAGCCATAATGAAATACTTTTCTACACCCGCTAGAATGGCTAAAATTTTGAAAACTGAAAAAACAAATATTGGTGAAAATGTGGAATTTGTGCTGCTTTGGGGAATGAAAAAGAATGCAGCTACTTCAGAAAATATGTTGACCAATCCTTACATAGTTAAAAATACTCCCAACTTTATGACCCAGCAATTCTACTCCAAGATATTCACCAACATAAGTGCAACATATGTTGGCCAAAAAAAAAAGAATGTTCATGAAAGCTTTATTCAAAATAGCGTGAGCACACACGTGCGCGCGCACACACACACACACACACACACAGAAAATTGAGAGGAGAATAGAAAAATTGTGGAAATTTATATAGCAGAATATTACTCAGCAATAAAAAGCAAGGGGCTACTCTGCTTTATATGCAAGAAATGGATACATTTCAAAAACAATATACTATGTAAGAGAAGACAGACACACAGACACAAAATACAAGTCTGCTCCATTTATATGAGACTTAAAAATAGGCAAAACTAATCTAGGTGAAAAAACAGGGAGAGTGGGTCCCTGGAATGGGAAGTGGATGAACTGGGAAGGGGCATGTGGGAGAGTTCTCAGGATAGATAAATTATATCTTAATAGGTGTGTGGGTTACATAGGGGTTTGTATTGTCGAAATCCCCTGAACTATATAACACTTAATGTATGCATTTCACAAGATGTAAAACAGACATCATTTTTAAAAATCAGAAGAAAAAATAATAATTTATTGTAAAAATCATATGGCCAGTATCTTTTTGGAAAGTAAAAATGATTATCATGTTAAGAATATAGGCATTCAGGTGATTTTTAAAAAACTTTTTCTTCCTCTATCTACTCGGCAATAACTGAGTACCTACTATGCATCTGTCATTATCCTAGGCATTTTGAACACATCAATGAGCAAAACGGACATCAATGTCTGTTTCAATCAATCTATAAGAGTAGGGAAGAAGACAGAAAAATCAGAAAAACTGTAATAAGTAAGTAAGCGGTATAGTGCTTAAAAAGCTGAGAAGTTCTGTCTCCCTCCTGATCCCATCTAACCTTAAGAGACTCTTAATCTCACAAAACAAACTGAGGGTTGCCGGGGGGTGGGGGGAGAGCAAGGCAGGTATGGAGAGGGTGGTTGGGTTATGGACACTGGGGAAGGTATGTGCTATGGTGAGTGCTCTGAAGTGTGTAAACCTGGCGATTCACAGACCTGTACCCCTGGGGCTAATAATACATTGTATGTTAATAATAAAAATAAATAAATAAATAAAATGAATTTTAAAAAACTGAGAAGTTCTATGAAAGAGAAAATCTGAAATGTTGCCATATTGTGCTCTAGCTGCATGACATGAGTTTTTAAAAAGTTCTGGATATACCTATATTCACTAATTAGTAGTTTTGTCCTTAGTCATTGATTGATAATGCATTAGAAGCATTCCAGAAATAGGGGTATGTGTGTGTGCATGTGCGTGCTGGTTTATTGTCATTGCTGTATTCCTCAAACTTTTGTAATATTTAATGCCTGAATAAACATATATCAAAATGTCACTTGGGGTGGGTGAAAAGGTTGGTTTCAAGGACATGGTGTTTGATGCTAATCGCATCTCATGTGCTACTGAGTCATAGTCACATTGAGTTATCAAGTCAAAGAGCAGCCCTTTTTGTCTTCTGTATAAAAGACAAGCTGCTCAGATGTTACAGAATTCAGACGCCCAAGTCATTAACTGTGGTTGTACATAAAAGATGCAACACTGATAATTCAAAATAGACAAGAAGAATGTGCTCTAGAAATAATTCTTCTACAAGTCACAATATCTGGCACAAAACATAAATAAAGCCCTATTTTTCTCCTTCAGTGCCCTGCCGTGAAGGAATCACTGAGCCAACTTGTTATCTGCCAGTAACAGCGAGTTTCGGGAAGGCCTTCAGCTATGGAGAGACTCTGTATTTTTTTTAACAAGACATAGACAGAGAATACAAGAAATCCCCCAAGAAAAAGCAATAGCACCAACAATTCAAAAGGCTCTGAGATGAAATTAGCCAACATTCTGTCATATGAAGCCCTGTGTTGTTTTTCTATAGCTAAAAACAAACTCGGAATAAAGTGTTTTTAATGTCTGTTCTTATTTGTTGTTCTTAATGATGTATCTTGGAAAAATCCATCTCTAATCAAGCTCTATAGAAGTACTAATGGACCTCCAATCCTAAATCTGTACAGTATTAGATTATTCTTTTATGATAACGTGTTTATTTGCCAGCTTATGCTTCCCCGTCTCTTTGCCTGTACATATATGATTCTGCTCACATGGAAGGCTCGCTGAAATGCTACCCACAGTTCTAGTTCCCATTCAAATCCCCTTCCTGGGTGAAGTCTCCCTCAACCAACAAAACTAGAGGTTTCCCCACCCCTTCAGCTCACCCAGCTGATCTTAAGTCCCACTTATCTGGTCTAGAATTATACCAGTGCATTTCCTGACTACAATGAACCCTCTTGGAGGCATAGCCCAGTTAGGGGAAGAAGTATAGGCTCCACACAGACCCCAGTTTAAACTCAGATTGCATTCTCAAAATTGAATTGCAAATTTTGTTATTAGTGCTATTATGAATAATGATCCTTGGTCAGCCCATAAAAGCTCATCTAACCCATATAACACTTGAGGTAGAGTACTCACAGCACCCTTTGCAAAATAATTTTCCTGAGAATGTGTATTTTCTCAGAAAAAAGTATTTTATGTGATTCTGTTCTACTTACACACTGTCAACATGAGTTGATCAAAAATGTTTAGGTGATCAAAAAATGTTTAAATGGTTGTTGGTGATGAAAGACCCTATCAAATCTCATTAATTGGTATATGTCTTCCTAAGGAATCCACGAAAATGATCCTCCCCTAGGGTTCCCAAGTCTCTACTCAGCAGCTTCTGTGAAACCCCATATGAATTTCAAATGCTGCATGTTTTCCATCACTTGAGAAAACATCTGGCAGGGTGTGGTAAGGAAGCTGGGTATTGACCATATGCTGGAACCATCTTACCTCAGCGTCCTAGATACTTCTATTAAAGGGACTTGGGTTTGTTTTAAGTTATTAATTAGACTCAACATGCTGCGTTTATTTGGGCTGGATTCATAAAGGCACAAAAGTTTTAATAAGATAATGTTATTTGGCCCTTGTAGCATCTTCTCTCATACCCCTCATTTACAAAAGCATTCATGAGCCAAGGCATTTAAAGATAAAGAAGAGGTACGCCTGGGTGGTTCAGTCAGTCAAGCATTTGACTCTTGATTTCCCCTCAGGTCATGATCTCAGCGTTGTAAGATACAGCCCCGTGTCAGGCTCCGCTCAGGCACGGAGCTTGCTTGAGATTCTCTCTCTCTCCATCACCCTCTGCCCCTCCCCTCTCCTTCTTTTTTTAAAAAAAAGGGGGGGGGGTAAAGCAGAAGGAAGGTATCTGGATCATATATGGGAGGCTTCAATCTGAAAAATAGTCAATAAAAATATGGAAATAACAAAGAATTTGAAATGAAGGAGATTATAAAAATTAAGCTAGTTTTCTGCTCATTTCCTTTCCCTTCTATTCCTTTTAGATGAGCCTAGATTTTTCCTTAGTAATCCATGCAATCTGTGAAAACACAATCTTTCTCTGAAAGCCCAGTTCTGAGGCAGACATTAAGAGTTTCTCTTACCTCTTAGTTCCCCCATATCCAGAGTTGTCCCAAGTTGTTCTAATAAAGCAACTCTTGCTGCATTCTTTTTGTGTTTCTTGCCATCGTAATGTTGCTGGGCCATGAGAGGATTGTTAAACCAGGCTGCACAGAGCCCACAGTATCTGTCCGAATCTCTTCTTTGATAGGGAGATGCGACCACTGGAGCAGTGTCCACCCGTGGAGGTTTAAGTGAGTTCAGGGGTGTTGCTGTGAAGGAAAACAACCAGAGAGAGCCACAGGACGGGTTAATCCATTACTAGTAAGTATACTCAGTCCATTACTAAGTATACTTCTCTTCAATATCTGAAGATGGAAGAGTCTCAAGTTCATTCTAGAGCTCGAAATCCAGAGCTTACTGAAAGCAGGAAAATGATCTTCGCCAGCCTTCATTTCTGAAGCTGGGATACCACTGAAAATTCCTGATTTATTGAGATCAGATTTCTCACGTTGTTATGCTTAAATCTGATACTTTAGGGGACCATCCCTTAGGAAAAAATGAAAGATTTTCAAAAATAAACTCTTGGAGGTAAGAGAGGGATCCACCAATCAAGTTGCAGCCAAAGCTTGAAGTAAACATTGAGCACTAATGGCCTGAAAGATTCTGAATGAATGAATGAGACATTTGTATGTTAACTGGAAATAACCAAAAAATAAAGGATTTGCCCAAGTGATAGAAGCAGATCTTTCACGTACAAGAATTGTACCAGTCGACAAAATCATGCTAATTTTATTGTCAGTTTCTTCTGTTTACTGTGATAGGTTATTTTCAACTCATACCTGCTAAAATTGATGTTGAAAGTACAATATTGTTGTAAAAGACCAAAAGACAAACAGTGTAGAGCAGATGTTGCTTATCTAAACCGAAAAGGCATAATAACACTATTTTAAGATTGCTCAGCCCCAGCTATTAATTTAACACATTCCATTGTGAGCTTTCAGTTATTTTTGGCCCAGAAGCAAAAAAGAACCTAACTCAAAGGAGTTTACTAACAGAAAGTAAAAATAACTTCCTTCTGCATTACATGATACAATTTGCTTTCATCCTCACAGTAACTACGACTTGGATTACTGTTCTATATCTCACACGATGGACTTCCAAGATGCCAAATTATTCCCCGGATGATGACATATCTAGTTACAGTCAAGGCAGGACTCCAAACCAAATCCTTAACTTCCAAGGCCCGTGTTCCTTATAATACCTCTCAAGACTCTTTTTATACTTCTTAATAAGCAATTTTATAATAAGCAAATTTATCTATTTTTCTAGACCTCAGTCATCTTTGTTCCACATAGGATTTAATTTTGGAAAAAGGTTCTAATCCAAATACTTTACAAAAGAAAAAGGAATTTAAATTCTCATATGGCCCATTAGTCATAATGCAATATAGCAGTACTTTCTGCTACGTAGGAGTACAGTTGGCAAACCATGAATATTAGGGTCATTCCAAGGAAAAGCCGAAATCTGGAACCTCAATAACAAGTAAACACTTAATCAACTCCCCAAGCTTTCAAATCAGTTTAACGTGGGCTTTTTTTTTCTCAGATTAAATAACAGATATACAAATAAATACTTGCTAAATAACATTTTGAGTCAAGAAATGACTAGTACTGTGGCAATACCTTGAAAAAGTATTTTCTTCTCTCTCCAGAGATTTTATCAGATAGAGAAGTTTTAGCTAGCTTAGATGAAACTAAACGATATTATTTCTATTGGGACTTAGAGAAACGGTACAGTCTCTTAAAAGCCTCATTGCCAGATTCAGTCATATATCACCATGTGAAAATAAAGCCCCAAAGTGGGTCACACCACCCCAGCAGCCACCCAGTATCATCTGTTATGACTTAGAAATGCTAATAAAAGCTACACAGTTGACCTGTATGTAGAAGGACTTCTACCCACTTTTCTGAAGAAAATTGGATCTTGCTTCCAAAGTTTTCTGCAGCCTTATCAATTTCTGAGGATTTATATCTATCTATTGTTTTTTTATGGCAATGGAAAACATATCAAATGCCTGCCATCAGAATGAATGTTGCCTCTTGAAGCATAACTTCCTTTTCTCTAATCTGGGCCCTAATAAAACATCTGAGTCAATTTTGTCTATTGATATCTTACACACCACTTTTGGCAGGGAGGATGCACAACAGAATATCCATCAAATAAGATAATCTTATCTTTCACACAAGAAACTAGGTTCATGATGTATCTGTATTATAGCTTCTTCTCCTTAATACAGCTACAAAGTTTAATTTTTCTTAAGCTCCTATTTCCAATGGTAACCAAGCTCATTAACCAAATCTCAATAATTGAACCAATCTCAATAAAAACCAAACCTGGTTTTTATTTCCTAAAAAGGCCAACAAAGGCAGCAACGTGAGGGAGTGGAAACCACCTTGACTCAAAGTCAGAAATCAAGGTTGGGGGGCGCCTGGGTGGCTCAGTGGGTTAAGCCTCTGCCTTCAGCTCAGGTCATGATCTCAGGGTCCTGAGATCGAGCCCCAAGTCGGGCTCTCTGCTCAGCGGGGAGCCTGCTTCCCACCCCCCCTCTCTGCTTGCCTCTCTGCCTACTTGTGATCTCTGTCTGTTAAATAAATAAGTAAAACCTTTAAAAAAAAAGAGAGAGAAATCAAGGTTGGGTTGGACTCCATCAGCCACTGAGCTGTGTGACCTTTGGCAAATCTCTGATGTCTCTGGTTTCACAAGGTTAAAATTCAGGGTCACCACTTCTTTAAAGCGCATAGTGTGGGGTTGGAACAAATTATAGAAACTCTCTCTCTCTCTCTCTTTTACTGCTTTGACTGGATGCCAAACTGTGAGGTTATATGGGAAGAGAGCAATTTCCAGAAAATAATGTTAAATCTGTGTGTAAGCCTGGATCATAACCTGGTAGTTCTTTGGCAAAAGTATATTATTCTAATAAAATGAATACAAAGTAGGGCAAAGATTATTGTTTGGTTTGAAAACACATCTTGGACAAAGCAGTTTAACTGATGTATGGTTCATTATTATTTAAATTTCATGGTTTATGTTTTTATTTTCATTGAAAAAATATTTAGTTAAATATTGACTTTACCTCCTCTCTGTACAACTTAAAACCAAGAGTTCGTTCATCAGAACCAGTAGTTTTCAACCTTGGGGAAACATTAGACTCAGGAGGAACTTTAAAAATCTCCATGTCCAGACTATCCCCAGACCAATTCTGTTCAATTACATTAGACTCTTGGGGTAGGAGCATCAGGATGCTTTAATGCCCTTCTCCCACACCACCTGGTCGATGTTTCCAAAATACAGCCAATGTTGAGAAGCTCTGATACAAATATTGCCAGACTTTGTTTGAATATGACTATACAATAGTCTTCCTAGATCTTCGCATAAAAGAAAGTTACATACTATATCCCACAGCAACAGAGCCAGTTATTTTGTAGGCAGTAACAGAAATGCCACATCTTTATCTATGGAATAGAAGGAAATAATGATCACTTGGCATTTTTTAAAACCCTGATCAATTTCTCCATATCTCCAAGATATAAAGGTTTCTCCAAAATAGCAGCTAATGTTCTATATTAATATTATAAAAGTTAAATAATAATTCTGATCCCTGGTCCCAAGCAGAAAGTCATATGCACATTGAACTGCTAAGGCACTGTACTGCCTACCTTTGACCGGCACCATCCCCAGCCTGGTCTACCATCCCTCTCCTCCCAGCTAAACACCTGTCCTGCAGGGTGCTGTTCAGTCCCATCTGCTCTGTGAGGCCTTGACCACCCAAACAAGAAGTAGTTCTCCCTCCTCTAAACTCAAAGCACTTTACTAACTGCACAATTCATTTGACATTTCTTAAGCAGCGCCTTATAATCTTGGTTGCCTACACCCCTGTGTGTGCGCGTATGTGTGCATGTATAAGGGAAATTAGATCATAATACTTACACTTCAATACTTGATATTCTGGTGTGTGCTGTCTTCTCTAATACATGTCCATAATCCCTTGTTTCAATGTAGAAAAAAATAAAAAACTGCTAAAATTCAAATTTTTCTTCATGATTCATTTTTTATTAAAACCTGACCTGAATTCAGAAGAGGTTATATATAGTCTTTATAGAAATATATATATATATGTGTGTGTGTGTGTGTGTATTATATATCTTATATAAATACATATATTTATATATAATTATATATGAATATAAATTTATAAATTAAATAAAAATAAGTAAAATGTGAATAAAATATATGATATATAATAAGATATATGTAATCACTTAATGTAAACACACATACATTTTGCAATAGAATTTACTGATGTCCCTAAACATGGAGTGCTTAGATCTGTTGAAACATAATATATGGTATCTGTACCTAGTTACATATCTAAAATCCTAAAATTTCTGATTCTCAAAACACATTCAGCCCCCAGTATTTTGATCAGAAGATCATTGATCTGGAGCCAATTCAGAGTAACTAAAATAAACCCAAGTTGTTCTAATACTCGAGACAATAGAAACAAGTCAGTCTCTAAAACTTGATTTCTAAGAATCCCCTGACATGGAATCATTTTCAATATCCCTTTTATGTCTTGCATAGTGTTTGTCAAGAAGCAAGTTCTCAACTGTTGGCTAAGTTGTCTTGAGTAATAGTTTAAAATAATATGCATCTCTGTCCTATATTTGTTTCTTCCTGGTAGAATAACCTCAGTTGATCTAAGGACAAAAATACTTTCAGAGCACCCGGTATGTGCCTCTCTCAGAACACTCCCTCACTCTGCAACGTAACACTGTGTGCAACCAGACTCTCCATGACTCAGCACGTTGCATGACGTCACTCACATAATGTATATATCCCATGCCTTTCTAAATGAATGGATGGATGGATGCTCTTTGCAACAGAAGGAAATAAAGTACTCGCCACCCAGAGTTTTCTTGTTTCTTCTAAATTGTGTCATTCAGGGCTTGAGTACTAGTCAATATAAACACAAATACTAGCAACCCAGTGACCAGATTCTGGGTAGAGGTATGTGTGGTGGAGGGGAGGAAGACTAAACTGTGGAAAGGCGACATATCAAAATGTAGACACTCATCCCAGTCTCCCTGTCTCGTGAATTCAGCTGGATATACCGAAAGTCAGTATTATCCCAAACTTCTATTTGCTGGGATGGCCTATTTCTAGGCATTTTTTAGACAGTTCAAAATGCACATCATTCTGGAAATTCTAC